ACAAGATGGCCAGCAGAGGAGGGCAGGGGAGGAGGAACCAGGCCTGTAGGGGAGAGCAGTTGGGAGGGACCAGGCCTACAGGGGAGGACAGTGAGGGGCTATCAGGCTGGCAGGGGAGCAGTTAGGCATCAATCAGGCTAGCAGCAGAGTGGTTAAGGGATGATTAGGCTGGCAGGCAGAAACAGTTAGAGGCAATAAGGAAGGCAGGCAGGTAAGCAGTTGGGAGCCAGCAGTCCTGGATTGTAAGAAGGATGTACGACTGCCCATTTAGGTGGGATCAGGCCTAAATGAGCAGTTAGATATCCCTTGAGGGTCCCAGATTGGAGAAGGGTGAAAGCTGGGCTGAGGGACACTCCCCTCACCCCCATGTACAAATTTCGTGCACTGGGCCTCTAGTAAATAATAATAATGAATAATAACAACAATAATGATGTCAGGTTAACACTATGTTTGACAGCTCATACAATTCCTTCCTAAAAGGCTATACACAATTTTACAGGGAGCTAAAGCTAGCACCCATGGGAGTTGTGAGTCAAGGGGGAGAGAATACTGTTACTCTCTCCCCCTTGACTGTTCATGATAACCTTTTTAGTTTGCAGCCTAATAATGACACTTTTTTTGTCTAACCTCAATTTATTCTTAAGGCCAATTCAAGAAGAGTAAGGGACACTGTTGTAACCACCCAAATTCGGTGCTGTCTCATGAAAGCTGCTTGACATATAAAAGAATGGGCAAGGCTGTGTTCTAATAAAACTTTTTTTTCTATGGACACCGAATTTGAATTTCAGGTCATTGTCATGTCTCCCAAAACATTCTTTTTATTTCTTTTAACCACTGGGGGGGAAAAATATATATATAAAAACCATCCTTAGCTCAAAGATGTTAAAAAATAACAAGAGGTGGGCGCCCTAGCTGATTTGGCTCAGTGGACAGAGTATCGGCCTGCAAACTGTAGGGTCACAGGTTCACTTCCAGTCAAGGGCTTGTATGGTTCCAGGCTTCTCCCAGCCAGGGCTCTGGTCTAGCCAGCAACCAATGGATATGTTTCTCTCTGTCTTTCCCTCTCTCTTCCACTCTCCCTAAAAATCTATAGAAAAATATCCTCGGATGAGGATTTTTTTTTTTTTTAAAGGGGGGCGGGGAGGAGTGGGCCATATTTGCCAAAGGGCCATCTCTAGTTTGCTGACCTGGTGTACACAAGATGACAGAATTAGAAAAATGTGTTCAGGGTGGGACTTTTTGAGGGGTGGTCTATGCTGACTTTCAACGAGCTAACATATGTGAAGGCGTTTTCCAGTGATATTTGGTCTGGCGGCCAAGCCGGGGTACGGTGACAGCGGGATGTGAGCAACCCCCGCGGGCGTCCAGCTCTGAGGTCCAGACACAGCGCAGTCGGGGCCTGCCTTCAAGGACACGCAGATGGAGGGAGGCTGCGATCAGCTGACAAGGGAGGGAGGCCCAGAATCTAGAAGAAAACAAACGCCCTCGCCCGCCCCCACGTGGCGCCGCTCCAAGCGCCGGCCGGCGGGCGAGTGCCCACACGCACGCCCACACGCACACACGCCTACACGTACGCCCCCACGTCCCCGCCTCCCGCTCAGGCCGGCTCTATTGCGCATGCCCCCGGGCGGGGGGCGGAGCGGCCACTGAAGGGGAGGCAGAGGCCCCAGCGAATCGGAAGCGCTCCTCCCGGGGGGGGGGGCGGGGGGGCGGGCCGCGTGCGCGTCACTTCCGCCGGGGCGGGGCGGGAGAGGGCAGGGGTGGAGCCCGGCTGCGGCCGCTGCTGCTCTCAGGTTTGTGTTGGAAGCTCAGCTGATGCGAGCCGCCCCTGGGGTGAACGTCCGAGCCGGGAGGTGGCGCGTCGCCGCCGCTGCCGTCGTTGCGGCCTTCATTCGGGTCAGTGGCCGCTGGGGGACCGAGGCGGGCCGGTGAGCTTGGGAAGCTGGGAGCCTGGGAGCCCTGGGCGCTGGTCTGGCTGGCCCTTCCGGTCTCCCCTCTCTCTCTCTCTTTCATTCTCTCTCTTTCTCTCCGAAGGGCGTTTCCAGGGGGAGGGCGGGGAGACTCCCGGCTTGCTGGAGGCTCCGGTCAGGACCGAGGTTCCGGAAGGCCACCGGCCACCGGCCACCGGCGGGCGCTCGCGGGGGCGGAGGCTGTTGGTGGCGCGGCGCCCTTCGGCCTCGCCCGCCCCCAGGCGTGCGCGTTGTTTTGGTTCCTCGGGGCCGGCCCCGCGCTTCCTGTCCCACCCCCACGACTCCCGGCCTAGTTACCCAGAGGCTTGTTTGGCTTGGCCCCGGGCGGTGGGGTCATCCTGCAGTTTGCCGATGACTTGTCAAAAAACGGTTTTCCTAGGCTAGCTGCCTCCTCCTCGAATGTCAGTGCTCCGGGAGAGACTCCCATGGCTGGGTCCTTGTTAATGTATCATCGACTGCTTTTTAACGCCGCCCACGTTTAACTCTGTCCCCAGCTATTACCGGGCTGCTTTCTGCGGGCCCAGGTGTGTACTTATTAAAAAAGGTGAAACTGTGTGAATCACCACGTTGCATTGCTTCCCGTCATTGTCATTTCTATCATCGTGCTGGGAGGAGCCTGGTTTCGGTGCCTAAGCCTGCAATGATAGTGTCAGAGAAAAGTGGAGACTCCCAGGAACAGCTGAGAGGTTTGGCATCAGGGACTGCCGTGTAATCCTATTTAAAGAACCGTGTTGTTACTTCCAGGAACAGGCCTCGATGGTTGTGATTTCAGAAGTGACGGCACTTGTTTTCTGTGTATCGAGGAAATGCTGTTAAAACAGTGAAATGTTAAGGACTTAAAATATACATGTTTAAAGTATATTACACTGTGAGCTGCGAGTGTACGCCTCTTATGAGGCAGTTGTTTCAAGCCCATTCATTGTAAGCTATTTTGTTTGTGCAAGTTAGTTGTGTTTTCAATATAAGAACATGTTCTGACTTCATAATTTTTATTTGAAAATATTTTTTAAGTTTATCTTTATTGTTGAAAGTATTACAGATGTCCCCTTTGTGTGTGTGTGTGTGTGTGTGTGTGTGTTTCCCCTTGACCCCCTCCATCATAATGTTTGCTAATCAATTTTTTTTCTTAATGTTTTCCATTTCTGTATGAGATCTAAATGAAAATCCTGAAAGCGATATCCTTTTAACGGGTGACGTTGAATGAAAGGGTCAGTTTCATCCAGTTACTTCCAGGAACATGCAAAGTTAAAAGTACCGGTTGTACTTTGACTTGTTTTTTTGGCTCGGTAATGACAAAGGAATTGTGCTGAGGTACATATTGTCTCCCTTGTGGGTCATATGTTTATGAAAACGTCAGAATTAGAGCTGTTGGCCCCTCACGTCTTGGTTCTCATCTCTCCCGTTTCTTACATTTTGTTCATTGTCCACCTCTTTTTAGACCTTGCTGTTGTATTCATTGCCCAGACTTTTTTTTCAGGTTGTCTCCCCAAGTGCTTTTTAGTTTTCTGGAAGACTGCCTCTTAACTCTGGATGGCAGTCAAGGCTCTACCCTGCTCTTTCTAAACCAGAGTTTTAACATTTGAAACCAAAGGAATATATTAGAAAGTCCATGAATATCCTGAATTGTATGGAAAATGTAGTGTACAAGTATATATGCAAATAAGCACTTTTCAAGGAAGAGGTGTGTGTGTGTGTGTGTGTGTGTGTGTGTGTTTTGTTTTGTTTTTGTTTTTGTTTTCAGGTTCTGTGATACCCAAATGCTCAAGAATTATTACTGTGATCCTTTATTTGGTAAATCCAAACGTGATTTCAGCTGCCACTGTTCTGATAACTCCAAACATATCCACAGGCTATGTTCCTATAGTACACCTATACTTGAATGTCCCATTGTAAATACATATTTAATTGGACCCCATCCCAGTTACCTCATATTTACAAATGACATTCTCCTTGTCTCTGATAAAAAAAAAAATCCTTAGGTTGTCTTGAAACCTCCCTCTCCTTTTCTCATTCTTCTATGATCTGTGTTGTTTCCCACTTTTAAGTGTGGCTCAGAGTAGCCCTCTACTCCCTTATAGTACTATTATCTTAATTCAAATCCTTGTAACTTTATGTCTGCATTATTGCAATAACTACGTGAAGTCCCTATAAATTCATTCTTTCCATCCTTAGCAAAGCCTCCACCTAGAAATTCCCTCATTTCTTAATTATATTTATATCTCCATTGTATTTATACTTTATAAATAGGTAGTCTAAAAAGAAAAAAAATGAGACTGGAACATCCTCCCCACACACACTCAGTATTTTAAATTTAAAAACAATGTGGCACTAATGTCTTCAATAAAGACTCATTGGTAAACTGATTAAGAAAAGTCTAATCTTCCCTGCTCTTCTCTAAGTTGATGATGGTACCTCTCACTCTACATTGTTCTCTGTATATTTTTGCAAACTTCTTTCCCTGCTGAATTTACTCCAAAACTCTTATCTACATTTACTGGTTTTATGATTTGGGAGAAGTTAAATTAAGTTTGTTGGTTTTGTTAATAGCTCTCTATATTTAGTAATTTTTTGCTTGATAATTGTAATTTCTAATGAGGTACATAAAAATATTATGATCATGAAATTGTCACAGTAAGTTCTTGGTTTCTGTCTTTCTCGGTTTTGTCTCATTATTCCAATCTGGCACAGATCTCCTGGAATCATCTTTTAATGTGATCCCTTAGTTTAAAATACTATATTGACAGTTTGATTTTCAATCTCCTTGGCAAGATTTATAAGACCTTTCATGATCTGTTTATGAAAACGTCAGAATGGAAATATATTCTCTCTCTTTTTTTTTTAAACAAGTTGCTGAGTTTAGTTCATGTAGTAATGTATTTTTTCTTATACCCAATTCCAGTTATCCCTTGAATACTAATTTTTGTTTTCTTGCCATTTCAGGTAAGACCATGAATTATGGCATTTCTTAAATGAAGCATTCAGGACTGAAGTGACAGTCATAACAGATAGAAAATAAGTGATTTTTAAGTTATGTCTATTCATTTGACTATAGATGTATATATTTACCTCCTTAGTAATGCGCGAAGTCTTTATGGGAAGCAGAAAAGCAAGCAACTACATTTCTTGTGCTCACCTAAACATTACTGGAAGATAAGCCACATCAGTCTACAAAGAGGTTTTCATACAAGCAAAATAAGATGTAAATGGACCAAAAGTGAAGGGCATTCTTGCAGTAAGCACTGGTACGCTCCAAGCAACAATGGGTTACATGGGATTTTGAAACTTAGCACTTCTGCTCCCAAAGGACTTACAAAAGTGAGCATTCGTATGTCCCGTATTAAAAGTACTTTGAACTCTGTTTCAAAGGCTGTTTTTGGAAATCAGAATGAAATGATCTCACGTTTAGCTCAATTTAAACCAAGTTCTGAAATATTAAGAAAAGTATCAGATGGTGGCTGGTTAAAACAGAAAAACATTAAACAAACCATCAAATCTCTGAAAAGCTATAGTGACAAATCAGAAAAGAGTTCTGCTCTAGGAAAGCAAAGTGACGTTATAGATAAAGATAAAGAAATTGGTAAAGAAAGCCCTTTACCTTACACAAATATAACCACAAAATTTGAAGAGTCATTCTACTTTTTATCCAATCATATTAACTCATACTTCAAACGTGACGAGAAAATGTCTCAAAAAAAGGAAACCAAACATTTCCAGGACAAGTCAAAACTTGAATATAAAAAGGGTGAAGGGAAATCCATGCCTGCAACTCTTGATGTGCTGACTGACAAGAAGCGAGGCCCAGAATCCTCTTCGTCTACCGTGGTCGAGCCCAAAAGTCCCAGTGGGACACCTGAGGTCCTTCCAGTTTCTACTAAAAAAACTATTGCTAATTTTCTTTCATATCCCACTGAAGGTGTACAAGCTTTAGTAGGTGGTTATATTGGTGGACTTGTCCCGAAGTTCAAATATGATTCAAAGAGTCAGTCAGAAGAACAGGAAGAAGCCACCAAAGTTGATCAGGCTGACAGCGATAAAAAAGCAGAGGAGAAAAGGAATTTAATTCTTCAGAGAGAGAAGGCAAGTTGTTATTCATGGTGGTTTTAAGTTTTAATTTTTGTCAAATTGATGTTTTATTTCTAATGAGACCTTAGAAACTTTAACCATTTGATAGTATTACTATAACAGTTTTATAATCATATATATTTAAATATGTCTCTGTAGATTATTGCAAGAGTGAGTATTGATAACAGAACCCGGGCATTAGTTCAGGCATTAAGAAGAACAACTGACCCGAAACTCTGCATTAATAGGATTGAAGAACTGACTTTTCATCTTCTGGAATTTCCTGAAGGAAAAGGAGTGGCTGTCAAGGTAATTTTAATTTATTTACTCTGGTTCTGTTTTGAAATAAGAATACGAATAAACCTTCTAAAATGGAGGAGGCAGTACTTTCATGTTTTTATTTAAATGTTTTTTTGTGTTTTTTATACATTTGATTTGTAATATCCAGTAATTGCCCCATTTATTCTATGATATCCTAAATGTTCCCTTTTATATAAATTATGCTATTAGTACTGATATCTGTACTTAGAAATTAAACATTTTAAAATGGAAGGTAAATCTCAGTGTGTTAGCTTTTCTTTGCCTCAGTTTTGTCAAATATAAAATAGTCAAAAGAATTTATACCCACTTAAATAGTCTGTTTTCAGAGAAATACTATACAATATGAATGATGTGTCTGAGTTGAGTCTCTGTACATCTGCACTACTAGGGTTATTTGTAATATTGAACAATTTGAAAACATAATGAGTAGATGGTGTTGACATTTCATTGGAGTTCTGTAGTGCTTATCTTTAACTTGCCATTCAGATTTATCTTTCATTTTAACTTGCCATTTAGAAAATTGTATGTTAATCTAAGTTTTTGAGTAATGTAGTTTTATATTGCCCTTAGAGACCCAATGCATGAAATTTGTGCAAGAGGCTTGACATACACATGCGTGTGCACACACACATGACCTTGGTCCCTGCCACTGTGGCTTTGTCCGGAAGGACGTCTGATCTAATTAGCATATTATGCTTTTGTTATTATAGATAATTCATGTTCATAAAATTTGGGATTATCTTTCACATAGATTTAATCTCTTACCTAAAAGATAAATTTTCTAAATATAGATAGATATGCATCTCAGTCCATTTAACATTTAAGTGACATACTGAAGCAGAGACCTAAAACAGAATTCTGTATTTAAAAGAACTCTTTAAAAACATTTTATTGAAGTAAATTGAGAGTATAAAGTTTGCTGAATTTTCACAAACTGAACACATCCTGTCCCAAATCAATATTCTCCTCCCAGAAGTAATCACAGGTTAGTTTTACCTGATTTTTGAATGTAATAGTTGTATATTATATGAAATACTGTGATTGGTTTCTTTCATTCAGCATTTTGGTAGAAATCATATTGTGTGGGTAGTTGTATATCATTCATTCTTTTTGTTTCTATATTTCATGGTTTGATTGTATCATGGATTTCAGAGTAGTTTTCTGTTTTAGTCTATTATGAATAATTTTGGTAATAGAGGTTTTGAAGATTCTTATTTTGCATAACTAAGGACCCTTCAATATCCAGGAGAAGTGTGATATAGGAATGTATATTCAGACCAGTTATAAATGACAATGTAAGTAGTCTAAAGAAAGCTTTTTTCCCTAAATAAGCATTTTACTGAATTTGATAAATTGCTTAAGACATGTTAGCATGTACACTTTCATGTGAACTTTCCCAATTAAATTTTAATTACTAACAAGAATTGAGCTTTTTAAAAATGTTAGGATCCTATCTAATAAAAGAGTAATATACAGATTGACCATCACTCCAACACACAAGATGGCTGCCCCCATGTGGTCAAAGATCCTGCCCCCATGTAGACTCAAGATGGTCACCATATGATGGCTAGCAGGGGAGGTCAATTGGGAGGCACCAAGCCTGCAAGGGAGGCCAGTTGAGAGGGACCAGGCCTGCAAGGGAGGCCAGTTGGAGATGATCAACCCTGCAGGGGAGGGCAGTTAGGGGTGACCAGGCAGGCAGAGGAGGGAAGTTGGGGGCAAACAGGCTGGCATGGGAACATTTAGACATCAATCATGCTGGCATGGGAGTGGTTAGGGGGTGATCAGGCTGGCAGGCAGAAGTGGTTAGGGGCAATCAGGAAGGCAGGCAGGCCGAACGTTTGGGAGCCAGCAGTCCTGAATTGTGAGAGGGATGTCTGACTGCCCGTTTAGGCCCGAACCTACCGGGATCGGGCCTAAATGGGCAGTCAGACATCCCTCGATTGGAGAGGGTGCAGGCTGGGCTGAGGAACACCCCGTCCCTCGCTCCCATGCACAAATTTTGTGCACTGGACCTCTAGTTGTTTATTAAAGCTCATTTATATGAGTTTTATTTGTGTGTGTGTGTGTGTGTGTGTGTGTGTCGTATTTATGGTGGCCGAATTGTAAATATTGTACAATGTATTTATTAGTTTTACTGCTGATGAACATTTAGATAGTTTCAATTTGGGAATATTTAGGAATTTTGCTTCTGTGATGTGTTTTTTGGAAAACATATGTCTTCATTTCTTTTGGGTATATACCCAAAAGTATATTCCTGGTCATAGTGTAGGCCTGTTTTCATCTTTAGTAGATACTGCCAGGTGGTTTTGCAAAGTATTTATACTAATTTATGCTTTTTGCCAGAATTGTATGGACCTTCTGGTTGGTCTCCTTCCTCTCCAGCACTTTGTATTATTTATCTTTTTTATTTAAGCCATTTTGTTTGATTTGTAGTGATATTAAATTGTGGCTTGTATTCCTCTGGTAACAGTGAAGTTCAGCCCCTTTATCAGTGTTTATTTGTCATCTTTATACTTCCTTTGTGAAGTGCATATTCCAAGTCTTGTTCATTTTTCCATTGGATTGGATGGCTTTTTTTTTTTTTTTTTTTTTTACTGATTTAGGGAATCTCTATGTAATAGGTATAAATACTTCAATATATTTAGTGATGTATGTATATACAACATACATATATCTGTATCCTATATAATAAGCATAGTATGAAAATTGTCCCCTCGACCGAAGTTTGTCCTTGAGTTTGACCAGGGGGCAGGGCCAGCCAGGGGAAGGGAGGGAGGTCCCGGCCGGCAGCCTCTAGGGATCCTACCAGTGCATGAAATTTGTGTATATATGTAAAAGCCCGGGCGACCATACGACCCGCTATTGACCAGGTAAGATACTTCAGTGCACAGAACCTAGAGGGTCTTTGGGAAACTCAGCATAGCATTTTAGGATTTAATCTCTTGCCTCTGATCAACAGTATGACGTTGAATGCTTAGCATCTTGAATTCTCAGTTTAAACTAATTTTTTAATTATAATGGTCAGTTTTTGCCTTCTACCTTAATTTTATTTATATACTTCATTGTGAGGTACCCTTGTGTCCCATGTACAGTGTTCACAAGATATTTTTTTCTTTTTTCTTTTTAATATATTTTATTGATTTTTTACAGAGAGGAAGGGAGAGAGATAGAGAGCTAGAAATGTCGATGAGAGAGAAACATCGACCAGTTGCCTCTTGCACACCCCATACCGGGAATGTGCCTGCAACCAAGGTACATGCCCTTGACTGGAATCGAACCTGGGACCTTTCAGTCCTCAGACCAACGCTCTACCACTGAGCCAAACCTGTTTTTTCTTTAATGGCAAGTTTAATAATTACTGTGAAGCAGTTTCATCTTAACTTTGGGAATTTAGACAAAATATTGTATAAAATTTATAATAACCTTTTGTTGTGACATTAATAATTTATAAATTTGTATTAAGCATATTACATTTTCTCTAATTCTTAAGCATTCCACTTTTTAAAAGATATATTTGGATCTAGGTTAATTTTTTACCTAGATGTTAGAACAAATAAATTCTAGCTAGTAATTGACATTAAAAAGTCAAACACTAATGTATCATTTAAGATTACTTAGAAAATAATAAACACTTGCACCTTGATTGTGGAGATCTATACATGTTAATTAAAAATAATAATACATTTTCACATTTGATTTGATAAATGTAACAAAAAAGTCTTTTTTTCCTCAATTTAGGAGAAAATTATTCCGTATTTATTACGATTACGACAAATTAAGGATGAAACTCTTCAGGCTGCAGTTAGGGAAATTTTGGCTTTAATTGGCTATGTGGATCCAGTGAAAGGAAGAGGAATCCGAATTCTCACAATTGATGGAGGAGGAACAAGGTAAGAATAGAAAATTGATTTTTAAAAATTACAGCTCCAACCTGTCTTGTGTTTCTCTCCGGTTAGAGTGTTGGCCTGTGCATTGAAGGATGGGGGTTCAATTCCTGGTCAAGGACATGCACCTTAGCTGCAAGTTCAATCCCTAGCCCGGTTGGGGTGAGGTGTGGAAAGCAACTAGTCAATGTGTCCCTCTCACATTGATGTTTCCCTCTCTCCCCCACTTCTACTCTCTGAAATTCAGTGGGGAAAAAAATTCCTCATTTGAGGATCAACCAGAAAATAACACTAAAAAACTATAGTTCCAATTCAGTCATAGGAATTTTTAAAAACTGTTTTGGTATATCATTACAAAATCAAATTTTTAAAATAAAACATGAAATCGTTTTTTAAAATTTTTTTATCAGTCTCAAAACTTCTTTAACATATCTGAATTTCTTTAATTTAACCTGCTGCTTATATTTTAGTTTGGTCTTTTCAGACATATTGGATAGTTTAGGACAGTTTGTCAACCAAGATTCTCTTAAAATCTTGGCAGTATTTTATAATGTCTTATTTTTGTCTTACCCATAAGTCAGCTAGTCATTTGGTAAAGTAATGGTTATAAATAATTTTTTAAATAATATTTTTATTGATTTCAGAGAGAAAGAGAGAAATATAAACATCAATGATGAGAGAGAATCATTGATCAGCTGCCTCCTGCATGCCCACATTGAGGATCTAGCCTGCACCTGGGCACATACCTTGACTGAGAATGGAACTGTGACCTCCTGCCTGGTTCATAGATTGATGCTTAGTCACTCAGCCACACCACTGGGCTAAAGATAGCATTTTTAAATAGTTTTTCCTCATACTAGCATAAGTAAAACTTGGGAGAAAAATATATAAACAAATCATAGCTCAGAATTTGAAGATTATTTTTAATATTTTTATTTCTTTAAGTATTTTTCTATGATATATATGTACATGTTTTATTTCATTTTCTGTAAGTAATGGAGATCACATTGTTAAATATTTTTCTTTAGCATTATCTTTAATTCTTCATGTTTCACTTTGAATTCATAACGTATCTCTCTTGTAAGCCATCTTATGTACTCTTATTACTCTTCAAATCCACGTTACTTTTTGTAATTTAGAAAAGTCAACATTTTTAGTTTTTTACTTGAATCTTACAATATTTTCTGGTGACTTTCTTTTCACAGTATTAAAGCATAATTTGGCACTCCAAATTTTATTTTGTGATGTCTGGCTACTATTGTGTTCCAGGACTTCTCTATCTCACACCTTGTGTTGGGATTATTATGTTTAATTATTTCTGTATATTCTCTTAGTATTAAGAATTATCCACATTCTAGAGAGCATTGTGCTAAGTGAAATAAACAGAGACAATTACTATATGATTTCACTTATACATGGAATCTAAAAAACACAGTTAATGAACACACAAAACAAACTGATGGTTACGGGGTGGTAGGTGGTTGGGGGAATGAGTGAAAAGGTAAAAGGATTTAGAAGTACAAATTGGTAGTTACAAAATAGTGATGGGGATGTAAAGTACAGCATAGGAAATATAGTAAGGAATATTGTAATAACTATGGTGTCAGGTAGGTTACTAAATTTATCAGGGTGAGCACTTTGTAAGTTATATAAATATCTAATCACTGTATCATACATCGGACACTAACATAATGTTCAATGTCAACTATAATTGAATACATTTTTAAAAATAAAAAAATTGTTCACTTGTTACACTCACTCTGAATTCGCCTATACTTCTGAAGCTATTTCATCTTTCATATTCAGTATGAAGCTATTTGCCACTTTTGGCAAGAATCCAGAAATGAATAAAGTCAGCAGATAAGTTAATACATCCTTAAGTAACTGTCCTAATACTGTTAAGTTTTAAAAAATGAATAAAAGCTTAAAAAATAAGACAAAATATATAAGACAAAGCCATATAGAAGCAAAGGTGACCAGCTACATTGGTGAGAGAAGAAACCAATATATGGCCTCCCAAAAGTATTTTCCACAGTTGGGGTATTGTTTTTTAAAAAAAAACCTTACATCGGCATATCTTTGTAGTCTAGATACTAGTATAAATTTAAAGAAGTGCAGCTATCGCACTTCTTTAAATTTGTATCTTAGATATTGGCTTTGTATCTTAGATATTGGATATTCAGCCCTGGCCAGTGTGACTCAGTTGGTCGGTGCATCCTCCCGAACACCAAATGGTGGTGGGTTTGATTCCTGGTCAGGGCACATGCCCTAGGTTGCAGGTTCAATCCCCGGTCCAAGCATATATGGGAGGCAACCAGTCAATGTTTCTCTCTCACATCAATGCTTTTTTCTCTCCCCCTTCCTCTTGCAAAGTCAATAAAAGCATATCATTGGGTGAGGATTTTTTAAAAAATATAAGAAAATGATATGTTGAAAAGTGACCTTAAAAACTTTTACTGGTGCTAAGTTATATTACTAATTTTCATGTTAGCATATAAGTTAGAGATGTCATTTTTAGGATTGTTTTGTTCAATAACTTAGCTTTCCTTGAAACATGAATTCTCATTTTGTTTTTATTTTTTTCTATAGAGGTTTGGTTACTCTTCAGACACTGAGAAAATTAGTTGAACTTACTCAGAAGCCAGTTCACCAGCTGTTTGATTACATCTGTGGTGTAAGCACAGGTAATTTATCATTATAGGAGTGCTACATACCAGCATTAAGAAAAAGAACATTAAGCACTTATTATATTCAGTATCATTATTTGAAATGATGGGTATTAATTTCTTGTTTTGATGAATAATTCTTTTTTAATAATTAATTATTAAAGTATTTATTGGAAATAAAATAACATTAAGAGAATAGTTTGGAATGCATTGTCTTAACATTTTTTAAAAAGTCACAGTGACCAGTTATGAATTATGAATTATTGCCTTATGGTCTAATCACCTTCAGTGATGAAATATAAGGAAAGTAGGTACTTAAGTTGTACTTGCACCAGTAGAATATTAAAGATGGAAAAGATTGCACTTATTTGTGAGAGGTGTCCCTCTGTGAGGACTATTCTTAGTAGGTGGGTGCTCATGAAAGAGAATTTTAAGTTGTAGAGATTTACTCATGGTATAGAACATCAGTTTAGGAAATAACATGCATTTCTGCATTAACCACAATATATCTTTTCCATTGTTTTCTAGTTTATGTTAAACTTAATTTATAATACCGTACTTATACTTTTTTCCATTTTGTATATTCTAATGTAGAAATTTTGTTTCATAATTTCTCAAAAGTTGTTAAACTTATACTTAATTCATCAGTAACATACTTACCAGATTGATAAAGTTCAGTTTTTTAAGTATCTGCTCATCTTTATAGTAGTTATGCTTAAAAGGAAAGGAACATAATTTTTTGCCAACTTATTTCTTATAACTTTTTCACAAATTGAGAAATAGCAATTTCTATTATATAGTTATGCCATACAATGCATGCTATCTTACCTTTTATTAGACTAAGACTTTTACTATAATAACACATGAAATATTTAAAATACATCATGATACTTTTCTGGGTTGTATTTTTCTCTCTCTTTGCTTTGTCCCACCCTCTCCCCATCCCCTAAACCTTTATTCAGTTTCTTGTTAGTTCAGAATTAGACCAATTATGTACACTAGGTGGCAGTGTGTCCTACCAATTGCAGCTAGGATATGAAATTTGCTATTTAAAAGGACATTCCAGAGATCTAATTTCTTTAATTACATTGTTTCCCAAGACCAATCTGAAGCAATTTTTTAAGAATTGGTAAATTGTCAAATGTACTGTATTCTGTGACCAAAACTAAGTGATTTATTAAGGTTTGAAATAACCTCTGCCACAATATCTTAATTATATATTATTTAATGTAATGTAAAATAACACATTTTTATATATTTGTAAGTTATCATCATCATTGGTTGCCATTTATGTAGTATCCTTATTGAGGCCTAGTAAATAAAGCCCTTTACATGTGTCATCCCAATATAAGAACTTCATAAATGTTAGGTGTTGTAATTACCCTTATTTTTTACATGGAAAAAAAAAAAAAATAGGGCTCTGATAGGTTAAGTAGTTTGTCCCAGGTGACACAGTTTGAAAGTATCAAAGGCAAAGTTTTAACCAGGTCTATGATTCAGAATATTTTAAAGTATTATATCATCAACACTGACAAAAACAAAAGATTTTTTCTTTCAGGTGCTATATTAGCATTCATGTTGGGATTCTTTCATATGCCTCTGGATGAATGTGAAGAACTTTATCGAAAATTAGGAACAGATGTGTTTTCACAAAATGTCATTGTTGGGACAGTCAAAATGAGTTGGAGCCATGCATTTTATGATAGTCAAACATGGGAAAATATTCTTAAGTAAGTTATAATTATTTAAAAAAACCATTTTTATTATCTAGGTAATATGTGCATATTAATTTGAAAAAATGCTGAAAATATAAAATTAAATTATCCTAGTAGTTAGATATAATCACTTAATATTTTGGTGAATCTATTCTAGTCATTATTTTCTTGGGTTCATGCATGTGAGATTTTTATGTAAAAGTTTCAATTGCCTTTTTAAAATTTGAGACCATATTGTATATAGACCATGTTTTGCATCCTATTGTTTTTACTTATAAAAATATTAGTCTTGCCGAAACCGGTTTGGCTCAGTGGATAGAGCATCGGCCTGTGGACTGAAAGGTCCCAGGTTCAATTCCGGTCAAGGGCATGCACCTTGGTTGCGGGCACATCCCCAGTGGGGGGTGTGAACAGGCAGCTGATAGATGATTCTCTCTCATTGATGTTTCTAATTCTCTATCCCTCTCTCTTCCTCTCTGTAAAAAATCAATAAAAGAAAAAAAAAAAAATATATATATATATATATAATTAGTCTTCCTCACTTTCCAAAAATAAAAGCCCTGGTACAAAGTATTTACAAGCTTCCATTTAATTAATTAATTAATTAATTAATTAATTAACTTATTTATTTAAATTCAAAGTGAATCAACAGAAGTACACCATAAATTGTTTTTAACACTCACCAAAATAGTTATCTGGTAAACCGGCCTTTTGTATCAAAGTACAGAAAGCTTAGTAATATTAAATCACAGAAGACTAGAGAAAAGTACTATCGCACACTATAATAGATATGATATCCATAAAAGGTTTCCCAATTCTTTTTGTAATATTGCACGGTACTATTGCTACATGGCAAACTAGTGTAGCATAGAAGGGAAAGCAAAAACAAACAAACCATAGAAAGAAAGCCACAAGCCTAAAATTGTTAGTTAACAGTTCAAACTTCATAGTCAAATCTACCATTGGGCTCATTAAAACAAATCCTCCTACACCTTTGCTGTGCATGATTTAACTTTTACTTAACATGAACCAAATTTAAAATTAGTAGGAGAGAGTTTAAAAATTAAAAGATTTTGCTAATTGTATGCCTGCCAATGTTCAGTTGACCAAAGCCACTTAAACTCAGGGTTATGTGGAAAGGAACTATATACAGAAATATAGATAACAGGAAATATGATTCATTGGGAGCCATTATTATTATAATCTACCAAACCTACTCTCTGGACTTTTTTCTTTTTTTTTTCCTATTGTTTATTGAGAGCATTTTTATAGGTGGTGTGTGCTTTTTTTCTGTGTCAATTTTATCTTATTTTAGGGACATTATTTTTAATTATAGCATCAATAAACTCTAGGAATGTTGAAAATCGTTTTTGTATTTTGACATCTCTGAAATAAACAATGTTTCTGGCTTTATTTTTGAATTTATATTTATAACTTAATTCACTAATGCATTTCAGTTCAGTTAATAAATCAAAGTTTAAACAAAAAGCAAATATGAATTTTGCTTAAACTGTGAAAGCAGCTTCTAGATTTCTATGAAAAGATAAAGATCTGTAGAAGAATAAAACTACATTGATCTTCATGCAGAAGATCATAGGTCAGGTGGGGAAAAACAAAGATCTTGTTCATTTTAGAAAGCATTTTACTTGGATATTTTTAAGAGGTTGTGATAGGTAGGTCACTACCTAATTTGTAAATACTAACAGGTGAATTTACTAACATACTAGTTGAAAAATAGGATTATCATTTGAAAAAAATGTAATTAGAAAAATGTATTTGTCTTACGGAGGCAGGTTGGTAAAAAACATAATTTTTATATTCAATACAAGGGGGAAACATAATTTTTAAGTCAGGAAAAAAATCTGCACTGAAATAAAATTCCCCTATAATGGACTTGTAAAAATTGCTGCCCCAAAGCACAATTTCTGTAATGTTACAGTAATTCAAATGCCAACTCAGATGACTTAATAAACGTTTTTTGTGGGGTGACATTGACTGTGTTGCTCATACATGTCCCGATCTGGTTTTTGGACTACTCTGTAACTAGCTGACCCTTTCCTGCAGTCTTATCTCAGCACAGCAGCTTTTTTCTGTCAGGAGGACTCTGAAAACAGATTGTTCCGCCTCTGTGCCTTTCCCCTCTGAGGTCCTAACTTTGAATGAGTTACTTGCCATGTTTTGGTGTCCTTTTCAGGCTACACTTCCATGCATCTTTCCCAGATACTACAGTAGATACTTGTAATTTGAGTAATAAATTAGTAAATAAATAATAAATACTAACCACATATTATTTATGTACATTAATTAGATGATAAGCCTCCTAGAGGAGATTCATATACTTTTTAATTTGGTTCCTTTATAGTGCTTTAATAAAGCCATAGGCAAACAGTCATTGCTAACATATATTCCCTGATGTTAGGAGATAAATAATTTTGATATAATTTATTTCTTCTCCTTTAATAAAGGGAAAAAATGGGTTCTTCACTAATGATTGAAACAGCAAGAGACCCCACATGCCCTAAGGTAAGTTTCGAGTATATGACACCTAACTGGAATTGAAGGTTGGTGAAAACACTTATGCTGTTGGCCCTTTATTAAAGGAAAAATTTCTTAGGAACCTCTTTTTAAGGAGTATATTGTTCCTTATATATTGAGTTATTCTATAACTCAATGGGATGTGATCATTAGCCCTTATCTGTATATAGTAAAAGTACAACCAAAGTTTAAGAACATGAAAAACCGAGACTAAAGATGAAGACTTATCATAAGGGTTAATCAAATCTAGTGACTTAAGAAAAATTGTGTAATTTTTTTAAAAGAAATTATATATGTATCTTAGATATATATTATATACAAATGAAATCCCAATTTTCAAAATGTAGTTGTTGCTACAATAAGTTTCAGCATGGCTTCTCTTTTGATTTTGTTTGAAACACAGTGATCTGAGTTTTGCTTAAGTTCTATGTTCTTTGATAATACTTGATTAAGGAGTAGGATTTCTGTACCTAGGAATTCCATGCAGTTTGTATTTATTTTTGGATAACAGCTATAACCATGAAAAATCAAATACAGCTCCCTCTAATGCTCTCTCTTGCTTATTTATTTTTTCTTTCATAATACTAAATAATGTTTAATTTTTACAAATCCCAAATATTGCTGCTTACAGTGGATATTGTTCACTTTTTAATTTACTAGGTAGCTGCAGTAAGTACCATAGTAAACAGAGGGGTGATACCAAAAGCTTTTGTGTTCAGAAACTATGGTCATTTTCCTGGAGTCAACTCTCACTATTTGGGAGGCTGTCAGTATAAAATGTGGGAGGCCATTAGAGCTTCGTCTGCCGCCCCAGGCTACTTTGCAGAGTACGCATTGGGAAATGATCTTCATCAGGTAAGTTGAGTCTATGACCTATCTTGTAAACCTTTACATGATTAAAAAATTAGCACTTATTGAATGTCATTGACCTTACAGAGGAATTAACCAAGGAGACTTCCTTTGGTATGTCTCCATGGAACAGAAGATGTGCAGTAGAAGCTATTTTAGTTGTTGATGGTTTTTCTTTAACAAGCTGCCTGGCTTGAAGAGCATATTTTAGGAAAGATTTCTTTTCAGATTTTCATCTAAAGTGATTCACATAGCCAATTATGATAGTTTTATTGTTGAGAAAAATGAAGTAGTACATCTGATTGGCTTTCTAAATGTGATAAAAATTACAAATGAGCACAGTTTCTGGAAATGCAGAATCCAATCTGTTTGACAATTTTGGTGATTTTTTAAAAAGAACTTTTGTTTCAGTTATCATTGACATAAAATATTATATTAGTTTCAGGTGTAAAAATAATCAAGTAATTTATATACAGACATGCTTATATCTTTGAAACAATGAGAATGTGTGGATGATCAAAGGTATCTGGTGCTGGGAAACTCTGGTGCCAGAGACAAACCAGATAGAGAACACTGAGGGCAGCTGGTCCTGGAGAGAACTGAAATCCTGTGAGCAGGCCAGAGCTCCCTGTACATGTCCCAGCACTCCCCGGGGCCTCTGGAAATGCTATTCCAGCTTCCACCAGCATCTGGGGGAAACGAGCCACCCTCCCATTGACAACAGGACCTTCATTTAAAATGTGTGTTATGTTACTGAATGACAATTTAGGTTATATTTCTCTTCCTATTATTGAGTAAGATGTTTCAAATTTCTTTTTCAATATAGTACTACTATAGAATTCAGTAATGTCTTACCTTCCAATAGAAATAAATTGTTTTCTGTTCAGTATGTTAGTATTATTTCAGTTATGTTCTTAATAGAATAAATGACTCTTGGACCATGTTCATATATATTTTCAAGAATAAGTGGAGGTTGGTTGAGCAAAGGAAGAGGCCAGGGAAAGAGTGTTTTAAGATGACAACATGTGCAAAGGCATGAAGGCCAGAGAATGTGGCTCATTCAGAAAACTGCAAATAATTCACAAATGGCTACATTGTAGAAAATGACCAATTCTGTGAAACTTCAAAATACAAAATCTAAAATTAATAGGTAAAAGTTACAGAGAGAGATTTGTACTACATTCTCTACTACATTTTTATAGTACTCTTATCAGCATTTTTTACCCTCTTTCCTTTTGAATTCTTTAAAATAATAATTGACAATAGATAAATGCTTAGAAATATAAAACTTGTCTGCTTTGTTAGGTTATGTCTGCATTATAATGAATGGTGATATTTTGAAATTATACTATTAACAAAATTTCAGCTTAAATTTGTTGAATTAATTTGGTTATATTTGACTTGGGAAAGAAGAATTAGCTTTAATTGTTTAGGAGAACCATAATTCTTTTTTTTAAATTTTTATTTCAGAGAGGAGGGGAGAGAGAGAGAGAGAGAGAGAGAGAGAGAGAGAGAGAGAGAGAGAGAGAGAGAGAGAAACATAAATGATGAGAGAAAAATCATTGATCAGTTGCCTCCAGCCACCCCCATACTGGGAATCAGGCCCACAACCCCAGCATATGCCCTTACCAGGAATCTAACTGTGACCTCATGATTCATAGGCCAATGCTCAACTACTGAGCCATACCAGCTGGGCAGAACCATATCCTTTTCTTAGGTTTTATATAGGAACTATATTAACCATTAAACAAGGATAATATCTTTAAAATGTAATGCAATTCATTTCAGTAGTTTTGAGCAAAATGTGCAAAGCAATCCAAGAAGTTCAAAGAACTTTCATAATAAGAAATGAAAGCTTAACAAGGCCAGGAAGGCCAGTGAGTTTTTGCATGACTTCTTTGTATCTATGATATATAAAATCAATTCAAGTTAAAGAAACCTTTTGTTTTAAAGTAATATGTTGTTGAATTTATTATATAATTCAGCTTTTCCTATGACTAAATTTCAAACTGTTTAAAACAATGGTCGGCAAACCGCGGCTCATGAGCCACATGCGGCTCTTTGGCCCCTTGGGTGTGGCTCTTCCACAAAATACCACGGCCTGGTCGAGTCTATTTTGAAGAAGTAGCGTTAGAAGAAGTTTAAGTTTAAAAAATTTCTCTCTCAAAATAAATTTTAATCGTCGAACTGTTGATATTTAGCTCTGTTGACTAATGACTTTGCCGATCACTGGTTTAAAATATAATTTTTCTTTTCAAATAGAATTTTACTTTTAAGAGTTCTGTATTATATTTTCTTATATTTTTCAGGATGGAGGTTTGCTTCTGAATAACCCTTCAGCCTTAGCAATGCATGAATGTAAATGTCTTTGGCCAGACGTCCCCCTAGAGTGCATAGTGTCCTTGGGCACTGGGCGTTATGTGAGTGATGTGAAAAACACCATGACATATACAAGCTTGAAAGCCAAACTGTCTAATGTTATCAACAGTGCAACAGATACAGAAGGTTGGTTGTTTGCTATTTTAGAGCACTTTAACTTCTAAAATTCAGCTTTTAGTAGAATATGCTCATGCTAACTGCAGAAGAGTATGTATGTCTGTATTGTAAAGGCTTAGGAAGCACTTGGGAGCACAACTTCTGTTTTTATTTCTCCTCCCTCCTTTCTTCTAAATGACCCTAGATTAAGGCTGTTCTCCATGCGAAGTTAGTGCTACTTTTGCCTACTTACAGTTGGAAAAGTATTTAAACCTGGATTAGCACAAAGGCTTGGTTGGAGACTATTATACCAGTTACAAAATGGAAAAGAAAAGGAGTCAGGTTGATTCAAATATACACGTAACAGTGAGAGAATTAGAATACTTACAGAATTTGATTATTTAGTAATGTGGAGGCAAGCTGGAATTAGAATAAGTTCTTCACTCTTGCTGCCCCAAACTAGTCTTCATATAAAAGCTGAAGTGATTTAAAAAAAAAACACAAACACATAAATTATGTTTTTTACCCTGTTCAAAACCATCCAGGTTTCCTGTCATATCTAATACCAAATCCAGAAATATTGTTCACTGAAATTTGCAGGCCCTGTAAGACCCAATTTTTTAATACATCTATTCCTCATCTTCCCCTCTCAAATGTGTCCCTTTTATATAGTGTAGTGGCTACCCTTTCATTTTTTTGCTGTTCCCCAAACTTACTAGATCTCTTTATTTTATTATTTTATTTTTAAGTCTTATGTGAAGTCAGTTACTAAGTCTTTACAAAGAATTGTTACCACTTAGCTCCTTGCTTTTGAATCTCATTTTTCCCTATTACCATGTTATTAAGTCATTAGCCTATGGGAGGATCTTAAATGACCCACTAAGGACTTCCATGTATTAAATGATAACCCAAGAAAAGCTGATATACTGGATTTTTCACTATTTTGTTTGGGTTTTTCACTAATTTGTGAAATTTTGTTGCCAAGTCAATAAAATACTCTTACTGTAAGCAATCTGAGGGAAAAGGAAACTTCAATCAGTTTCATAATACTTAAAGACATACTTTGTGCAAACCCTATGATGGGCTCATTTGAAATTTTTAAGAAACACGAAATGCTGCCTTTATGTATTTATGCTCTAGTTAATGAAGAATTTATATGGATATGCACAGGACGTAAAATAGCCAAGACTGTTTTTAAAAAGAACAAAGTTGGAGTATTTACACTCTTTGATTTCAAAACTATACAAATACAGTAAGCAAGAGACTATGTTATTTGCATAAAGATAGGCATAGGTTAGTGGAATGTAATAAGAGAACACAGAAATTGATCTATAAAAGTAAGCTCAAAAGATTTTTGATAAAGGTATCTCAATGAGTAAGATATTCTTTTCAACAAATGGTACTGGGAAAATTAGATAACTATGTTCCAAAAATTGAACCTTGACCATTCTATATACAGAAATTAACTTGAATGGACCTTAGATCTAATTATAAAAGCTAAAACTGTGAAACTTATAGAAAAATCTTAAAGGCATTGACCTACATGAAAATTTTTTAGATAGAACACAAAAAGCATGAATCAAAAAAGAAAAATTAAGACTACCAAATTACAAATTTTGACATTTCAAAGACACTTCTAATAATGAAAAGACAAGCTACAGACTGAAATAAATATTAGTAAAACATGTATCTGATCCATTATCAGAAATATGTAATCATATCCAAAATATAGAGAGAATTCTTATATATTATCTATAAGAGAAGAAAAAAAATTCAGTAAAAAAAACAAAATGAACTAAATATTTATACAGACATTCCATGAAGAAGATACACAGATGAAAGAGTTCTCAACATCATTAGTCATTAGGAAAATAAATACTAAAGCCACAAGGTACCACCACACATCCTTTGGAATGGCTAAAATTAAGATTGACAGTCCCAAGTTTTGGCAAAGATGTGAAGTAGTGGGAGCTCTTGTGTATTGATGGTTGGAATGCAAAATGGTACATCCATTTGGAAAACAGTGCTGTAGTTCTTTTAAAAAACAAAAAACATACTTTTACCTTATCCCCAGCAATTTCATCCCTGGAAGAAATGGAATCATCGATCCAAAAATACTTAGGGATAAATATTTATAGGAGGATTTAGATATTACTAATATCTAAAAACTGAAGAGAACTAGACAGGAGAGAACAAATTATGCTATATGGTACAATGAAATACTAGTCAGCAGTAAAAAGAAAGAAATTATTCATATATGCTACAACATAGACGAATTTCAAAAGCACTTTCCTAAGTAAAAGAAACTAGGCATACAAGGACTATATCCTTATGATTTTATGTGAAATTCTAGAAGAGATAATGGTAAGAGGAACTAACTATAAAAAAGCATGATGGAACTTTTTTAAGTGATAGAAATGTCCTCTGTCATGATTGTTGTGGTTACATTGTATATGTGTCAGAACTTGTCTTTCTTAAAATTGGTGAATTTTATTGTGAGTAAATTATGCTTCAATAAAGATAACTCCAGGAAAAAAAAATGGAGGTTGAAAAGGCATTTTAGCAGTGATTAACAGTATGATCAAAAACAGAGAGAAGAAAATACTAGAGCAAGTATCCTAATTTAACAGAATTATATGAAGTATTCTGATAAGTTAATTTTATTTTATAGTATGTTTACACCGAGTGGCCAGATTATGATCTCTGAACACATAATAATCTGTCCACTCAGAGTGTGTGTGTGCATTAGAGGCCTGGTGCATGAATTTTTGCATGGGTGTGGTCTGGCCAGAGGGCGGGGGCATGGGCAGTTGGCTGGCCTGCCTGCTGGTGAAACTCCCGGTCGAGGGGAAAATTTGCATATTACTCTTTTATTATATAGGACATACACTGAGTGGCCAGGTTATTTTTTGTTCAGAGATCGTAATAATCTGACCACTCTATTGTTATGGATTCCTTTACTAAGGTTAATTAGCTGGAATAATTAAATAAGTAGGGCTTTATAATTTTCCTAAAAGAATATAATTTTTTAAAAAGATAATGTTGGATCACTGTAGAATAACTTTTCTTAACCACCCTATTGTCTCTTGTTTGTTTTAACAGAAGTCCATGTAATGCTTGATGGTCTGTTACCTCCTGATACCTACTTTAGATTCAATCCTGTGATGTGTGAAAACATACCTCTAGATGAAAGTCGCAATGAAAAGCTGGATCAGTTGCAGTTGGAAGGGTTGAGGTACATAGAAAGAAATGAGGAAAAAATGAACAAACTTGCGAAAATTTTACGTCAAGAAAAAACAACTATGCAGAAAATTAATGACTGGATAAAACTAAAATCCGACATGTATGAAGGCCTTTCATTCTTTTCAAAATTGTGATGAGTGTGTGCACATATTCCCATAAATGAAGGCCTATTCAGAAGATCCACAGAACCCAGTGAGGAATTGTAGGGTTCAACGTGCGTTAACGGAAATACTTATGAATTCTGGGGAATCCTGAAAAAGATGGTGCTTGGACTAGCTTGCACAGCACAAAGGCAGACTTTATAAGGGAATTAGGTTTTTATGATGTTAATAATTAGCTATATTTTAAGAATCTTATTGTACTAGTTGGTTGTAGTAGATAGATATTGGTGTTATATTGTTTGATATTAGAAAATTTATTAATGTAGTGCCAACCAACTGGAAAAATATCATACTTAATTTTTTTGCTTCAGTCACCATAATCATGTTGGATTTATTTGATCATTGATTTTCTTCCATGTGGAAAAGCTAATTTCTTTTTAAATTTACAACGCATGTATTTACGAGCTACATTCTGCTATCCAAATGTTGCCTTTTACTGTAATATCATTTAAATACATACAGAAAAGTGGAGTTTTTTCTGTCAGAGGACTTTTACATTGGAAATATGAAAGAACCAGATACAATTTTTTATTCAAACTTGATTGATTCAAAAATCATAGGTGAGATTCCAATCACTTTTCACCCTTGAAATTTCAAGATAATGCTGTATGTTAACATTTCTAGCTCTGGCTTATTATTCATTGTCATAAAATTATTTTAATTTACTTAAAAAATACTCTTATCATTAACAAAAATAAATAATTTATTGTTAAAAGGCTAAAGTCATTTTTAAGATTATTTATTCTTCGTAATGTAGTTCCCCATCTCTCTGTAGCATTTGAATATACCTATCAAGAGTATGCTTTAAAAAGTAAGTTAAGCTTGCCCTATCTGGTTTGGTTCACAGTATAGAACATCAACCTGCAGACTAAAGGGTCCTGGGTTCAGTTCCAGTCAAGAGCACATGCCTGGGTTTGGGGCTTTATCCTCAGTAGGAGGTGTGTAGGAGCAGCCAATCAACGGTTCTCTCTCATCATTGATGTTTCTATCTCTCCTTCTACCTTCCTCTCTAAAATCAATAAAATATGTATTTTTAAAAAATAAGTTAGGCTTGTTTTACCATATTAACTCCTTTAGCTGGATTTCATAGAGGTTAATAACATAAACCAACTCAGATAATTGTTTATACCAACCAAGTTCATCTTTGTTGTATTATCTATCTGCCTTATTAATCCTTATATCATGTTTAGCTTTGTACGTATAAATTAAAGCTAAAACGCAGTTTGCCAGGTTTTCATATTGTTCTCTGCTGATTCACAGGGTATAGTATGGTTCAGGGAGTGCTGAGGGGAGCTGAGAGTCTGAATGCTAATCCTGGCTCAGGCTCTGACCTGGAGGAGGGCAGACGGCCTCTGGGTTTCAGATATTTCATTTGTAAAGTGAGGAAAGCTAGCTCTAAAATTTTACTTACTTTTCTTTATGGTAACCTAAAAATTAAGTTCTGCAAATGTACAAGCAAAAAGATAGGAAAAGTTGGAAAAATGAATTTGCAGTCTTACACAAGTAAAATATCTGTTCTTTTTTAAAGAAACCAAGAAGAGTCTATTTTAGAAAAAAAATGTGATAGATACTCCAATTCATCAGTTATATAAAAATACCAGCCCTGACCAGTTTGGCTCAGTGGATAGAGCGTTGTCCTGTGGACTGAGGGGTCGCAGGTTTGATTCCAGTCAAGGGCATGTACCTTGGTTGCAGGCACATCCCGGTGGCGGGTGTGCAGGAGGCAGCTGATCAATATTTCTAACTCTATCCCTCGCCCTTCCTCTGTAAAAAATCAATAAAACATATTTTAAAAAATGAATTAATTAAACAAAAATACTAGAAGCCCAGTGTGCAAAATCACATGGCCCTGCCCACTCGCATCAGTCTTTGGTCCTTATGGTGTTAGGGACACAGGCCTTTTATACTACAGAGAGAGTATAAAAATGGTTTTGATGGTTAGGCCTTCTATTACAGAATGTTTATTTCTGTAATAAATAGCATGTTGGTGATATTTCAGTTTTTGCTACAGATATCATTCTTTATTAATAGTACCTCAGATAACCAATAGAGTTGTCCCTAGAGGCATTTGGGCTGGCTAGGATTTCCCCTGGGGTTATAATTACACTGTGTTTCTTACCCTCCCAAGCCTCACTTTATTAGGGAGAAATTCAAAGGATCTTCTGAGTGGAGAAGGAAGTCAAAAAATGTCTGCCTGCAGTCTGAGGGGATAGAGGAGGATCTTACAACTTTGTTTTGGTAGTATGACGGAAGGACTCCCTTTCAGCTCCCTCCCCCACCCCCACCTCCCAGCAGTGCCTGACAACTGCCTCTCCTTTTCACTTGGTATAGAGCTGATAATTATTGAGGTAGCTAGGACCTCTCGGGTTCAAAGATCAAAATTCTACCCAACTTGCTATGCTCTAGAAATAATTCTAGTCACAGTTTTGAATATCACACAAGTATTAGTGCTAGAAAAACTGAGAAAGACAAATATCACATGATCTCACTTATTTATGGAATTTAATGAACAAAACATATTGATCAACAAAATAAGATCCAAAGCATGGACACATGGAACAGACTGAGATACCTCGATGTGGGGTTACAGGTGTCCCCATCTCCTCCCCACTCCCACCCCTTGCCCACCCACACACCTCCCACTCAGCATTCTCCCTCCCCCTTACTTCTGGCCATCACCCCCCTGTTGCCTGTGTCTGTGTGTTACGTATATATGTTCTTTGGCTAATTCCTTCACCTTCATTCATCCAGGCCCTCAATTCCCCTCTGACAGCTGTCAGTCTGTTCCATGTATCCATGCCTCTGTTTCTATTTTGTTCATCAATTTATTTTGTTCAAATCAGTGTAACTTACACTCTTCTCTGCCTTTCAGATTTGTCTTAAAAAATACGTTTTTATAAAACTAGGAGAATTCGAGTCTTTTAAAATAGTTTTCCCGCCCCTTTCCCCCCTGCCCCCGGTCAGTCATTAAAAACACATTCTTATAAATCACAGGTGTTCTTGTTTTGCTTAATTTGATTTGGTATCAGGATACAGTTAATCCGTACACATCTAAACATGCCTTCAGGCATCCATTTCCAGTTTTAATTATGGGAGAAGTACCCAGTGCTGACACTCAAACACTGTAGAAGCAATGGGACTTCATAATTAGTATATAATGAAAATAATGTGTTTATATATGCATATAGGATAAACCAGTGAAATATACACTTTAAGGTTTTGATGAAGTTTAGATACTTAGAATTTTAATATAGGCTTTGTCAACTAATAGTCATTAACAGTTCAATACCAACAGTAATTTTCAATTTGGGGCACAGTGAAGAAGAAAACTGTATTTAGTGCAAACAGCTCAATTGTGACACATTAAAAGTATGAAAACAGCAAGGGGGAGGAACAGCTCAGTAGCATTACAGCTCAATTATGAAGCAGCATGGCTGTGAAACAGCATAGCTGAGAGGCACCCCTGGGGCGAGGAGGCCCTCTCCTGCTAGACAGCTCTGCTATGCCCTGGGCTGGTCTGTACTCCTCTCTTCCTGTGCCAGTCTGCCCTCCATGCCAGCCGAGGAATACAGACATCAGTCTTTGGGGAAAAAGAAAGTGTACTTTTTGAGCCAGGGGAGCTTCTATAGACAGAATTTCTGGACCTGGTCCCTGATTGGTCTGTTCTCATGCAGATGAGAACTCCAAATCCCAGCTTGATTGGTCCCAAAGGCACTGTCCTGATTGGTCAGAATGGAGCTGCTCTAATTGGTCAGTGCAAATGCTAATGGGAATATAGGAATGCAGCTCCAATTGGTGCTTGGTGGGGGGGTACTCAGTACTATTAGTTGAAAGACTATTCCAGAAACTACTTTGTAAGAAATGGCTCAGATGACAGAAACACAGTGCAGGAAGGCCGTTCAATGGAGGAGGTAGACAACTACATTGCAGGCTTCTCCCTGAAGTGTGGTTGACATGAGGCCCCTGTGTAGAAATGGCTGCTAGACTGTTTTGTTTGTTTTAAATTTGAGCACAGTTAGGACCAGAAGCCCTCTGGGGAGGCATCTTCTTTCTCAGGGTACAAAGCTTATACCAGTATCGCTTTTTGAGCATGGGTAAATGGCCATGTCCTGATATTCGGACAGTGTCCCATGTGTCTGCTGTGGTGTGTGGAAAAGGACTGTTACATCCATCTCATCACAAGCATAATAATCAGCTCAAAAAATAAAGGCTCAACTGCAACACTCTCTAGAGTAATTTTCAGAACCAAACTTACTTTAAAAATATCTCGAATGCACTGCAATCATTTGAAAACATCTGCAAAAGTCATGATTACAATTTTAAAACATATAGATAAAACTATTATATGTGCTTCTTTATGAAGCATTAGAGAAAATGAAGAAAAACAATCATCTGGTAACAACTAATTGAAATGATGTAGCTTTCTCTATTTTTATCCTATATAATAAAAGCTTAATATGCTAAATGGTGACAATTTGACTGTTCAATCTGCATATTATAAAACCACTTGCTGCCAGGACCGGTTTGGCTCAATGGATAGAGCGTCGGCTTGGGGACTGAAGGGTCCCAGGTTAGATTTCCCGTCAAGGGCATGTACCTTGGTTGCGGGCATATCCCCAGTAGGGGGTGTGCAAGAGGCAGCTGATCTATGACTCTCTCTCATCGATGTTTCTAACTCTCTATCTCTCTCCCTTCCTCTCTGTATAAAATCAATAAAATATATTTTAAAAATAAAAAATAAAAATAAAAAATAAAACCACTTGCTATAACGTGCACTGACCACCAGAGGGCAGTCGACCAGTCAACAAGTCACTATGATATTCACTGACCACTAGGGGGCAGACACTCCAACCAGTAGGTTAGCTTGCTGCTGGGGTCAGCCCATCAGGACTGAGCGAGATGAGCCAGACACGCCCTGGAGCCCTCCAGTGGTCCCTCCCTCGCTGGCCAACCCTGATCATCCCAAATTGGGA